TAGAATTGAGTAGGACTACGTCAGGCTAGGTAAACACTATAATTACCAAGATTTTCAGTTTCTCTCTCCCTCTACCGGAATGAATTGTCCAACCCGTTCGTGCTGCACACTCCTGGCCCCTTCTGTTTCTAGTGCATTCTAACAATTGTCTTCACCATGATTGGTTAGAGTGATCCTAACTACTAGGACAGGGCAATTAATTAACAAACTAAAATCACTAACATAATTTTAGCTAAAATTAATCACAATTATTGTTGCACAATTAAATTGGAGAAGCCTCAGAATCTAAAATACAAAAGTGGAACTCTGCTGTTTTAAATTGGTCTGTCAAAAACTGTACAAAAATGCTTCCTTTAACTTTGTTGTTATTCAATTTTTAAAATAATGTGGAAATTTCCTCTCATATTTAGCTGGAAGCCCGGGAGCTCCTCCAGTGGCAGCTAATTCCTGCATTTTGGTCCAGTATCAGTGTGACAGCAAGCAGCCGACTGGCTACCCACCAGGAAAATTGTCTGGAAGCCCTTAGAGGATCCACCGGCCCCCTCAGCTTCCAAACCTCCCTGATGTCTCCAACAAGCTGAGACCGACTGAAGACCAGATGCTCAGGATTCTTTTCCACCAGTACGAAAGATTTTCTGTGTCTAAAGACGGAAAAGAAATATGCCAATGCAGCTACTTATCTCAACACTGAGGTAAAGCATGAAAGAAAAATCTGAATAGTGGCAACAGAAGACACAGAGTCATTATACAGCCATCACCATTACTGCATGCAGTCAATGGGTTATTAGCATGTCTGCTAAAAGCTTTGTCCCATCCAATCATTTCCATGTGTTGTCTTTCAGCCTCCTCCTCAGCAGCTGTGCAAAGCTGAACCGTCTCCACTTTTAATTGCTGTGTGGGGACCGTAAACCTGGATAGAACCTGCAGGTCCAGCTTGGAATAACACTGTTAACTTTAATAGGTTTATTGAAATAAAGATTTATTTTCCACAAGAGGCTAAAGCTAAAGGTTAGTCTAAGGTCTTCGAAAAAATAAGCATTTGTTTTACTGTGTAAATGTTACAAAATGCAGAATCAAATACAACCGTTTTAAGCAGTAGTGGGTTTTTTGTCCAGGTCTTGGAACACTGCACCTGCTCTTCACCCTTTATGGGTCATTTTAGGGTTCATAGAAGTTTGCTCACTGATTCTAGTGCTATTAACTAGGCTGCATTTGGTTTCTGCATTGCTGCTGTTATGCTACTTTCAGACCAAACGATTCGTGTTTCAAAAAAGACGTCAAACGCCTCAACCTGTATGCATTTTAAAGTCAGACACTTATATGAGGACAGTTCTTTTTTTATGCATTATTTGCCATTATGTGTGGGGGAAAAAATAAGTTTTAAGATGCTTTTAAGGTAGAAATTACATCTCAAAACAAACAAAATCCCTGCAGTCGGTTTGTCAGGACTTTGTTTGTTCTTTTGTAGTTGTTCAGTCAGACCGGCAGAGCCAAGCATACACGCTGGATTCCCCAGTAACAGCTACCTCAAAACCAGCCAGGAACTTAGGGATTTCGAACTGCTGTTTGTATCAGCTGAAATTGAATATAAAACGTTTATTTGGTATATTCAGGTAATAAACTACCACAATTTGAAATAAAATATTTCCTATATTTTTGAGTTAAACTGTTATATAAACTGTTGTGCCACAGCTTATACCTTTATATCAGTTTATATCTTTATCATCTATGAGGCGTACTAATGATCAAATAAATTTTACATTCAGTTTATTTATATAGCACCAATTCACAACACATGTCATCAGAGGCCCTGGAGGTGATGCAAAACCTACAAAGGTGATCATGTATTTTAGCTGGCCCCAGAACGGCTTGGGATTTTCCCCATAGGAACAGGAGGTGGTGTCTGAGGAGAGGGAAGCCCTTCTGAAACTGCTTCCTATACAACCCAGTGGGAATAAGGGGAAGATGACAGATATATTTTAACAGCATGAAGGTCATGTATTGTTGCTACCATACAACTGTGCTAAATAAAGTCAGCTATCTGTGATTAAAGGGGTAGTTATACCACACTGCCTGCACAAAAAAAAGTCGCCACCAAAAAAAAAAAAAGGTCATTCACTCTAATACATTGTTGGACGCCTTTAGCTGTCCAACAATGTATTAGAACACATCCCAAAGATTCTCAATGGGGTTGAGGTCTGGACTCTGTGGTGGCCAATCCATGTGTGAAAATGATGAGTCATGCTCCCTGAACCAGTCTTTCACAATTTGAGCCCGATGAATCCTGGCATTGTCATCTTGGAATAAGCCTGTGCCATCAGGGAAGAAAAAGGTCCATTGGTGGAATAACCTGGTCATTCAGTATATTCAGGTAGTCAGTTGACCTCATTCTTTGAGAACATACTGTTGCTGAACCTAGACCTGACCAACTTCAGCAACCCCAGATCATAACACCGCCCCCACAGGTTTGTACAGTAGGCACTAGGCATGGTGGGTGCATCACTTCACCTGCCTCTCTTCTTACCCTGATTGGCCCATCACTCTGGAACAGCGTAAATCTGGACTCATCAGACCACAAGACCTTCTTCCATTGCTCCACAGTCCAATCTTTATGCTCCCTAGCAAATTGAAGCCTTTTTTTCCCGGTTAGCCTCACTGATTAGTGGTCCCAATCCCTTGAGTTCCCTTCGCATTGTGCGTGTGGAAATGCTCTTACTTTCAGTATTAAACATAACCCTAAGTTCTACTGTTGTTTTTCTTTGATTTGATCACACCGCACGTTTAAGTGATCGCCGATGACAATCATTCAGGATTTTTTTCCGGCCACATTTCTTCCTTGAAGATGATGGGACCCTAACCTGACAACAGCCAGACGCATGTCTCGCTCCGCCTAGCTCCACTCACATACATCTGGGAACCCGCCATAGGAATTGCCTTTACTGAAGGCTGGGCCTTATCAAAACTCCTTGCATATGATTGGATAAGCCACTTGTCTGTCATCTTTATTGACGTGCTATTTCAACCACTCACACCGAAGCTAACCCGTGATGCTGTGAGAGGAGG